TCTCTTTTATATCCTGATAGTGGTGACAGGCAGCAGATGGTGGTGGGCTAACGGCTGATAACGGCTAGCTGTTGCTAACTAACATTAGTTGACTCCAAGAAGGGATGTTTGTTAGTTCCCATTGTAACGGGCTTTAAAGCTGCACGTGTAATAATAATAATAATATAATCATCTTTATTTGTAGAGCACTTTTCAAAAACAAGTTACAAAGTGCTTTAACAAGTGTAAAGAAAATAATACCCAAGAGACAATAATACAAAAACAATACAAGATAAAAGCATGAAAAACATTGAAAAGACTAAAATACACGTTTAAGAAAATTGTAAAATACAATAAAATAAAGTCAAATAAGATCGGGAAAGGCTCTCCTATAAAAGTATGTTTAAAGAAGGGACTTAAAAGAGTTCACTGACTCAGCCGACCTGATTTCCTCGGGCAGGCTGTTGCAGAGCCTCGGGGCCCTGACAGCAAACGCTCTGTCCCCTTTAGTTTTCAGTCGAGACTCTGGAACAGACAACAGACCTCTGCCCGAGGATCTCAAGGTACGTGCTGGTGTGTATGGGACTAAAAGGTCAGAAATATAACAAGGCGAGAGGCCATGAAGAGCTTTAAAAGTGATCAATAGAATTTTAAAGTTTCAAAATTCAAAAACATACTGGGAGCCAGTGTTATGAAGCTAAAATAGGAGTAATGTGGTCATATTTCTTTGTTCTGGTTAAAAGCCTGGCAGCTGTTTATGGATAATATGTCCAAGGGGAAGCAGATACAAGGAAAACATAATGGGTCCTAAGACCGACCCCTGAGGCACACCATATTTAACTGGACAGAACGAAGAGACATAGTTGTTTACAGACATGCAAAACTTTTATTTTACAGGTAGGAGTGTCAAAAGCAGTAGTTAATTAATAAATCCTTCAGACTGAGGTAATGGACTTGGAGACTGGATTTTTTCCATCGGAGATATGCTTCCTGCTTTCCCTTTTTAGGCTGCGAATGCTGTCATTTATCCAGGGTTGTTTACTAGCTTTAGACGTAGGCCTAACCTTTAGAGTAGCAGTAATATTTAGTGACGACAAGCGGATATGATTTAAGTGATCGACCAGATTGTTGGTGTTGGAATCAGACAGGTGTTGGCTTTGGTTCTGAAAGACTGCGCAAAACTTTGTTCATTAAAGATGCGAGAACACACGGAGCTTGGTGAGGCGGTATGAGTAACAGGCGAATCGCAGCTAAAAACAATACATCTGTGGTCAGATATGGTCATGTCCACTAATTCCACAGAGGAAATGCTGACACCCAGGGTAAAAACCAAGTCCAGTGTATGACCACGGTTATGTGTTTGCCCTTTGACATGTTGTTTGAAGATAAAAGAAGTGGCCATATTTAAAAAGTCAGTTGCATTAACATTGTTGGGGTCATCAACATGAATATTAAAATCGCCACAAAGAACAATTTTGTCATAATTTAAAACCAGAGTAGATAAAAATTCAGGAACTTCTGATAAAAATCCTCCAGGCGGTTTTGGGGGGCAATAAATTATAACAAATATGATAGGTTGCAGCCCTCCAACTTTAAGAGTGAGAACTTCAAAGGAGTTAAATTCATCACAGCGTACTTGATGACATTTAAAATTTTTCCTATACACGCTCACTAGCCCACCACCACGACCACTGACCCTCGGTTGACTAAAACAATCATATTGAGGCGGACACAGTTCAGCTAGCTGGTTATAGTCATTCATCTGCAACCAGGATTCAGTTAAAAACATAAAATCTAGATTTGCAGACAAGATAAAATCATTTAAGATAAAAGTCTTACTTGAAAGTGATCTCACATTGAAGTGAGCCATTTTAAATGAGTTTGTTCTGGGTGCTGGAGTTGTTGCAGTTGTCCTAATCCTTAAGAGATAACTATTATTTCTGTGTGGGATGTGCACATTTCAGTTTACTGGTCTATGCGTGATGATGACAGGAATAGAAGTCTGTGGAACAGCGCAAGAGGCATATGTTACATTAGCTAGTGTAGCCTTATGTCAAACAATTCTATACAAGTGCACTGAAATGGAAGCAAACAATACTGTAAAGTTAGGTTAATTGTTGCTTTAATTTATATAAGCTATTTATCATTATTTATTATTATATATTTTAGTGAATTTGTGAACTTGTATTTTTATAAACTGTTAACAATTTAACATTACTGCTAGTGTAGCTACTCTTCTTTTTGTCTGGTATTTATATTATGTTTATTAAAAGTTAGCAGAAATTCTTAATTTATGTTTCTAATGTTTGTCATCACTAGACAGCAGATAGGGCTATCGGCTAATATTTAATTTAATTTTTCTCTCTCTTTGTGTGAAACCACAGCTGTGTTTCAGACAACATAACAACATAAAACTCTCGTTAATTAAAAATATGAAATGGTATTAAATTTGGTGAAGAACACCATGACTAATAAATGTGAGATAAGATGTTAATGCTGTTGTCCTCTCTTCCCCAGGGCCATGCGTAGACCGGCACTCCTGGCATCTCAATACCTAAGATGCTGCGTAAAGGCTTCAGGGAAGGTCATCCTATGCAGTGTGACCACATTTGGCTCAAACTCGATGGCCAGTTTAACACAGAAGAGAGCGAGGACATCTCCATGGCTCTGGGCCTCCTCCTGTGCGTATATTTTGTTTGGAATCCAGCATCCTAAAGGACTGAAGAAGACACTGACCTTTTTGGAGTGTGTTGTATTGAAATTAAGGATGCAGTCGGACTTCCTGTCACAGTAAAGAGTATACAACTTAATCTCTGAGTGGACTGTAGGACTCAATATTCTCTCTTTCTGCATGGCCAGTTGAAGAGAACAAGGACTTTTCCACTTAACTGGGCCTCTTCCAGTTTCTATTTTTGAAATCTTGAAGGACTTTTAAACATGTTATTGTGCTGTCGACAATGAACGATACTGCAGGACTTCAGCTGTATCAGCCAGTTGCAGTAATTTCACTAATTTACTAATTTAATGTTAATATTTTCTAAATATAGTGAAGAACTAAAGTAGGCTTATACATGAATAGGCCAAAAAGAGACCTGCCTACTGGGCTACAGAAAATGTTTGTTTTTACTTATTTTAAAATGTACACATTATAGCTTGTTATCTATATAAGGGGAGTATATTGTAATGTTGTGTATATATTTATCTATTTGTTTTTTTTCCCTGACTTGTCAACTCAGAATTTAATTTCTTTGGTTTTAAAAGGGTAATTTTGTTTCTCAGTATTTAGTACAATTATTTTATTATATTTTTGAACCACGATTTGGTAACAAATGATTATCATAACACTTTAAATTATGAAGTTGTCATTTAAAAGCATATTGACTTGTCTCTGGTAGTATCTGGCATGACTTAAGGGCCCCACTAGCTCAAAATGTAAAAAATATTTATAGAATTTGACAAATGTGCTATAAAACTGTTAAACTGTAAAATAGATGCTATATAGCACCAAAAAATCTTCAATTAAACTAGTGTAACTTAACGGACTGGTAACTTTTAACAAAACCAAAGAAAATAAAACGCAAATAAGCTGCTGAAACGAGTGGCTTGTTTCCGGTTTCCCGAGAGACTGTCTTTCTTTAGACATATTAAAGTTAATCAAAAATCTATTTGCGTGTATTGTAATCAAATACATTCCCACAATCAAACCTTAGTTTTCAGCTTTTGATAAAAGGAAAACAATTGTCAGTAGTTAGACCTTAAGAGGTTAGCATTTCATAGGAATCACAGATGAGAGGAACTTAACTAGCTTCCTGGATATATTGGCGGTTACACATTCATAGAGAATATAGGCAAGATACACGAATGGCATCAGATTATTGGACATGATAAATACCGAGTGACATTTATACATTAAAGGCATTTCAGACGATGGCAATACTTTTGTCCACTTGGGGGAGCTCGGGTTACAGCACGATGGCTCTGATTAATCCCAAAACAATCTTCTTAGGAGCTGTGGAATTTAGTCATTTTTAACCTTAAATTCAAGCTTGAAAATTAATCGAGTATAGGATGACATTTCTTTATCATCATTTCTAAAGGAAGTGTCAGAAAGTGTTGTGAACAAAGCATTGGTTACAAAAAAATGAATAAAGTCAGGTGACCTTGCTGAAAATTAAAACACTGCAAAATTAACTTATTTAGATTCTTTAACAACAAATACACCAACATGGTAACATAACTACTCAAACGGAGGCAAACGTAATCAAGTAACTAAAAGATTATTTAATTAAACAAGGTAATGCTTTGAGTCTTGAGGGGAGTACTCTTTTGTTTACACAAAGGAGTTCAGGGCTGTCCTCCTGGTGTCTGGAGTTTCCTCACACCTGGGCGTGAAGAGGAGAATATCCTTTGATGTGAGGTAATTAAACAAAGAGCAAGGTCAGTTGCCGTGGTTACGCGTGTGGGGGCAGTTTAGAGTTTCCTGCCGTCTGTTGAGTTGATATCCCAAACCCCTCCTCCTTCTCTCAGGGAGAGAAAAGGATTTGGAGTAGTCCAAACTTATTTGATATAAAATGCACGAATCCACACTGTTGGTTCACAACAATTGTTAAAATCCTAATTTAACAATGGCAAAACAGCAGCTGACAACCTTAACACAGGGTGCTCTGTAAGGAACAATATATCACGCCACTCCAGACAGGGAACCTTGAAATCAGCCAAACCACATAAAACAGGCAGGCAGCAGACTGCTAAACGTCACAGAGGGTTCATGTGGCAACCAACAGGCAGGGAACTACAGCTAATGAGGGTGTTTGATCTGGGTGGAGCTAATTTGATGCTCTAGAGGTGCGTTCAAGAGCAAGGCTAAACACCTATAAGCCTGCATAGAAATACACACCACTACACATGCATGTAGTTTTTGAGTATATTTTAGCATTTTAGCCCTCTGACTGACTCAGGCTTGCCTGATCTGGTCTTGTTCAGTGCAGAGCTGCCTTGCTTATACAAACTGAAGAGGCAGGTGTCATCCTGAAGTTTATTGAAGGTCTTCAGCATAATCTGAATTACTGTATACAACAACAACAACACTAACACGTATTAAAATAACTGCAAAAAATATTTATGCCCTCCCCCAAAAGGGCGCTTGCATAAAAGGCCTCTCCGTCTCAAAGTCCCAGGCTGAATTTCATCCCAGTACATCCCTGTCTGTAACCTATTACATTTCCACAGTAACCTTCCCAACAACATGCATTCAGAGTGAAAGTTAGATTTACTTTGTCACTATGGGGCGTTCTTACATTATCAGTTAATGTGTGAAGACCTTGTAACTCCAGTTTTTACTTCATCTGACAGATTAAATAGTTTGTGGTTTGATAAACTTGTTTGTTCTTTCCAGCACAAATGAAACCATTTAAATTCCTCATGGATGAAACCAGTAATCTGCTGCCCTCATCTAAGATCCATGTGGAGATATGAGGTTTGCACTCAACACCAACAACATGATCTTTACCATTTAATCATTCAAACCGGGACAAATAATTCAAAACAGATTTTTATACAAGTAAAACAAAGAACAAAAGTTTACAACAAAATGTTCATAAAAATAAAACATTAACTGTTCATTACTAAAAATTTGAAAAACAAAACTCTTCGTACATATAATAATAAACAAAATACAACTTTTAATTAAGGCGTCTTCCTTCATTTTTGACAGAATAAGTCTGCAGGAAAGAAAAGTAGTTACATGTTCTGCAACTTTTATTTAAAGAGGTGGTATTCTGCTTTTTGGCTTTTCCCTCTCATTTATTGAGTTATATATATTTGTTGTGCATGTAATAGGTTTGCAAAGTGAAAAAGCCCAAAGGGAGTTCCCATCTCCCACAGAGAAACTCTGCTCTGAACTGCCTGAAAACAGTTCATTTGCAGTCCAGCCGCTTCCCTTTCATCCCTGTGACGTCACAGGGATGAAATATGCACCTCATATAACGCTCGCCAATCTACTCCAACACGCCCACAAAGCAAGAAGGTTGTGGGTTCAAACCCCGGTTGCCCCGGCCTTTCTGTGTGGAGTTTGCATGTTCTTCCCGTGTCTGCGTGGGTTCTCTCCGGGTGCTCCGGCTTCCTCCCACCGTCCAAAGACATGCAGGCTAGGTTAATTGGTGACCCTAAAATTGTCCTTAGGTGTGAGCGAGAGTGGTTGTTTGTCTATGTGTGGCCCTGATGGACTGGCGACCTGTCCAGGGTGTACCCCGCCTTTTGACCGATGCCAGCTCGGATTGACTCGCCCCCGCGACCCCGTACACAGGATAAGCGGTTGACGATGGATGGATGGATTGTATAAAATCCTGTTTTAGCCTTTTTGAACATGATAAGTTTGTCTCCTACTTATCTGACTTGTGCTTTTTATAGACAAACCAGAGCAGCCTCTGCTCCAGTCCAACAGTAGAGCAGGAACAGCATGCTGAACTTCATCAGCCAGAGTCTCATAAAACATCCCTGCAAAGCATTTTGTAGTGCAGAGCCTCACAGTCTCAGAGCAACGTGTCCTCGTCCTCAGTTTGGATAAAATGTTTGCCAAAGGTCTTGTTTCAGAACTGAAGGTCTTGTTTCTTTTTTATCCTTCAGTCCTCTGTGGAGAGGTGTATTCCATTTTTCTGAGTCAGCTCTTGCGATCTGTAAACAAAATTAAGTGAAATTCAGTGCTGAAACACATCAAGCTCAAAATAATCTCTCATTTATGTGTCTTGAGTATGAATCCTCATCACAACTGTGTCGAGTTATTTAGGTCGTCCTTTTAGTTGAGCTAGAAGAAAACTTTTAATATTGATATTAACTGAAGGGAAGGCTTAATCGATTATTATAGAATAGAGCTTTATTGTTGCACCAATCAAGACAATAAAGAATAATAAACAAAGTGAAACAATGGACAGAACACAAAATAAATAATAAACACAACTTGTATCACAAGTCATCAGCAATATAGTCAACATGTGTAAAAGTAATTGATTAATGTCTAATGTCCTAAAACATGTTTTTGGGAAATGTAATGTCATTATAGTAATTAAATGACGACAGGGCTTAAACATGGTCATAGCTCAAACGGAGTTCATTACAGTGCAGAAGAGCTATTGTTTTCAAGACAGAGGAAATACTTACTCAGGTTGGTTACTTGTTCCTGTCTGATCTGTGGTCTCTCTGCCTTTTTTACACACATTGGTTTTCTTGTATATACAGATTGCTGCCAGCCCTCCGACTGCTAAAACCACAATGACTGCGACGACAACGACTGCAGTTAATATGTTGTCCTGCATTTGTCCTTCAGCTGGAGGGTCTGAAACAGAAAGAGTTTGTTTTTGTAATTGAACTTCAACAAGTGCAATTAGACCTACTGAAGCGTCACGATGTTAGGTGGGTTTAATAATGTTTATTAAAAATCACAGCAAAGTAAAAGTTATGTTTTGGCTCCATCTCAAAATATATCTAGTATTACAATAATATAAAAATAGAAAAGCGGCAACTCCTCACTCAGATTATTTCATGATAACAATGAGTTATTTATTTTGAATGATCTCTTGCTATAGGAGGGTTTAATCAGCTTCATTGATTGCTCTGTGTAAAACTAACTATTTGCAAAACACTGCTCACCTTTGTCTTCTTCATCTGTGTGTTGGGTAGGAGTAGGGAGGGCTGATGTTGGGTTCACTGGAGCTGCATCTGCATGATGAAGGCAGAGTCTTGATTAAATTATCTTTTTGGAGCTCTTTCACCCACAAAACTTCATCTTTCATGGCTTCATGTTTTGCTGCCGTTAGTAGCTCCTTGATTTCTGTTGTGGGACACCAGTTAGTACATACAGTAGTGTATGTTTTTAGTATGGAATATGTATGTGTATGATAGTATGCCATTATTCATGTGGCATAGGGACAAAACTTATGTTTATGTGTGGCAGTGACAGCACAACACACTACCAGCAAAAACAAAAATAAATTGTTTCTGTTACTTTTTTCTACCCATATAGAGTACATCAGTGAGGACAGGCTAAAAAAACATCTTTCAAACTGATCATCCAGCTGAATCAACATGTCTCTAAAAAATTTTATCAAAAACATGATGACCTTTCTGAAGGACGATTTATTACAGGACTAATAAACTGGAAAACACACACCAGTTAAATTTGTTTTGTATTTGATGGTTTGTTTCTTTCCTTGTGTTTCTCGTACCGTCCACTTTAAGGTTGATAAATAACTCGTTGTTTCCTCTGATGGTGCTGGTGTAGCACTTGTATCTGCCCTGGTCCTGAACCTGCACCCCTGTCAGCTGGAGCGAGGCGTTTCCTCTGGAGATCTGGTCCTTGAACAGCGATGTCCTGCCTCCGAAGTTCTGGCCCTGGTGTGTGAGTTGGTCTTCGTTGTGGTAGTAAGAGTGGACAGTAGTGTCTCCTGTTGTCACCTGTATCCAGTGGATGACCACATCAGCGCCACCCTGGAAGCTGCACGGTAAGATGCAGCTTTGCATGAAAACACAGGACACCTCAGCATCTGCAACACATCAGGTAAAGAGATGTCTGTCAAAGTTCAGTTCAGGTAAAAAGGCAGCTGAATCCAAGTTATCCAAGCTAGTAGTCCTTAACTAAGAACTGAGGGTGTGCAACTCCCAACAAAGATCATTTAGAGACAAGATGTATCACTCTATGGTTAAAACAAAGCCTTCAACACACAGGGTGAAAAGAGGAGCTGCAGCAATGTGCAGTATGACAAAAAAATATGATGTTTTTTGAAAATTAAACCATGTAAACCTGTTCTGGTACAACACATTAATAAGACTTTGAACCAGAAAGTGAGCATAGTCCCACCTCTTTAAAGTCAGACAAAGTTCACAAGTCAAAACAAGCATGGGTAAAGCAAAAATAAAACACATTTTATGCAGCAAAAATATGACGTTTCGTCCTCTTTCCAAACTGATCATCCTGCAGACTGTCAGAATTATTGACCTTTGGGAGATCTCATCTTCCAGGTTGGAAGCCTCTGATTTAGAAGAAGACACATGAAATGTTTCTGTAAGGTCATAAAATGCAGTGAAGGGCCTGACAGTCAGTTTCAGGAGTGATTGTAGAGGGCAGCCTTGTGATTTTAATTATGGAGGTTGTTGCAGTTGAGAGAAAAGTGTAAAGATGGACGAATAACATTTTCGAGTGGCCTTTTATTGTGGCCAGCCTGAGGCACACCTGTGCTATACCCATGCTGTCTGATCAGCATCTTGATATGCCACACCTGTGAGGTGGATGGATTATTTCGGCAAAGGAGAAGTGCTCACTAACACAGATTTTGACAGATTTGTGAACAATATTTGAGAGAAACAGGCCTTTTGTGTACAAAGAAAAAGTCTTAGATCTTTGAATTCAGCTCATGATGAATGGGGTCAAAAACAAAAGTGTTGCATTTCTACTTTTGTTCAGTGTACATTGTTTTAAATATAAATTTTTGTTTACATATTTTGCATAGCAAATTAGAAACACTTTCATTTTTAATAACCATAATTTAAAAAATGCTGCTCACCATGTTTTCAAAGCCTGCTCAAAAATATACAGATTCATTCAGTGGACACAGTCATATACTGTATACACATTTACTTTTATTTACGGTACACATGCGCATTCACTTTACTGCATAGCTAAATAATAAAATAACTAAATAAAAACTGTTATTACTTTTGGAAAGACAAAAATATAAAACACACTGAAAAAGGATTTAAATATAGAAATGGCTGAAAAACATTGACACAGATTTGAAAGTGGGCAAAAATCATAAAATGCTAAAAGATGAGTGACACAGGTCCTGGCAGCAACATTTAATGAATTTTTATTGATGGTGTTTCTGCACTTTGTTTTTTATTAACAGCTGCAGATTCTGCTACGTGCTGGTTTCTCTTTAACTCAACTGGAAAACAAAAGTATTCAGTTCAGGCTTCAGTCTGTTTTGGAGGAATGTATCAAGACAGGTTCAGCAGGATTCCAGTAAAAGTTGTAGACAAGATGATGCTCTCAGTCTTTTCCTCCTTTACAACAGATTTGTTTTTACTATAGTATATAAAAATAATTGGAACCTCAGTGACCTGGTGGGTCAGTTTAAACAAAGTCATACTGTGGAGCAAAACAACATTCAAGCCAGCAGATCTTTCTTTTAAAGTCTAGTGGAGATCCTCAAGTTTCCAAAGATATAAAATATGTCAGGTTCAGTCTTGGGTAACTCTGTCCAAAAAAGGAAACGTAATACTTTTTATAAACATCAGACAGACCTGAAGAGTTGTCACTTGTCATTAAGTAGCACAAATAAAATCCTGTTTATCGCCTATCGTTTCAGAGGAAAATATCTTAAAACAGTGGCACATAACATCAAAAATCTGAACAGCTGGACACCTCGTTCTTCTTTCTGTGACTTTGAGTCAACAGACCTTTAAGTATTTCTATAAATTCATCTTTGTTTATTGTTTTTCCTGATGTGCTTCCTTTCTTTAGTGAAAATAATCATGACACTAATGCACCAAGTTTAAACACCTCTGTGATTTATGTTTAGAGTAAGATCAGATGGGCTGTGAACGCCTCACTCACCTCCTCTTGCGAGACTCCGCAGAAAGGTCAGGACCACAAACACGACACACCTGATCCCCCCAGTCATCCTTCTGTTAAACTTCCTCTGTCGACACTGTTTGATGAACTAAACAAAATAAATCAGCAGTGCTAACTTAGTGAATTTTACTAAGACTGGCTAACTGGTCTGACTTGTTACTGTGCTGATGTCATGAATCAGCTGTCTAGGAAATATTTCAAATACTTCAGGCTCCCCGTTGAAGCTTGCGTGGGTCAGTCAACACTCTTTAACAATCAACTCTTTCATTCTCACTCTTTTTTAAAAGGTATATGCCTATAGCACCTTTCAAAAACACAGTTACAAGGTGTGTTGCAGTAAAAAAAATAATAGGCTAAGTAAATATATCCAAAACATAAAAGATAAAACAATTTAAACAACTACAACAAATACCATCAAAAGCCATGAGCTTCAATGACTAGCTAAGATTTTGTTGCATTAGTAGGGCCCTGCTGGAGGATCTGAAGCAGCGATGAGGCTCATAGGGAGTTAGCAGATCAGATTCTCTCAACTCTTCAGACCTGCCATCCTCAATCGGTCCACCAGGCCACCCTCAGACTTTCCCTCCTTTCCACATGACCTGACTGCTCCACCCATCTACACACCTGTTCCACCATTCGCTCATCAGCTGTTCACCATTTATACCAGTTCACTTCCTTGGTTCCATGCCAGATTGTTATGTTGCTGTGTGTTGATGTCTTAGTTTGTTTCTGCCTAAATTACCTGGATTTGAGCTTCCCCTCTTTGTTGGGACTCTGGATTCTTGTCTGCTCCTGAGTGGTTTTCTTTGCTTATGTTTGACTGCTCTCTGATCTTGTCACCTTCCCATAAGGCTTTGTAGCCTACCTCCATTTTGTATGATTAAATAATTAAACTGCAGTAGATCTGCATTTGGGTCCTACCCTGACCCAGATCTACCATATGGGCAACCTGGGCACGCGCCCAGGGGCCCTTGGGCAGAGAGGGGCCCTCTGTGATGGAGGTTGTTTACAAAAATGAAGTCTCATTGTAGGAAAGCCAGATGTGTGTTCCCAGATCGCAGAATAGCGACAAACAGTTTCGTTGTCCAGCAAGGACAATTACGCTTCTTGTTAACATGCAAGCCTTTGTATATTTCTCAGTTTCTCTTTTTTTTTGCCGTGTCTTTCCATGTGCTACCTTGAATCAGTGAATGCTATTATGGGTTATGTCAATAATATACGTTATTTGAACACCAAGTTTAAGGAAGTTTTCCATCAGATTTGTTGGAATATTTAATATTTATAATAGAAAACCCTTATTTGGAAGTATTTGTATATATATTTCTCCTTTATTAATTTCCAGAACCACACCCATTCACTGATGTAACCTGTTGCTGGAATAAATAAAGCATCCTCTCAGAATCGATTCTCTGGCCGGAATCATTTCATCCATAGTTGTCAGACCCAAACCAATTGTTTCCCGAGGTCCCCTTCCTCACTCTCATTATGATTGTCTGTTTTATATGTCAGTTTGATGACTGGAAGCAGGCCACAATGCACTGTGTAGATTGGCTACTGATAAAGGTGGGTGGGCATAAAGCAGGTGGTTTACACCGTACTGATTCACCATCGGTTTTTGTAAGAACAAGTTGAGATTAAAACATAGACGATGCAATCAGTTTGTAACTGATCCATGGTCAGATAGCATGTGTCTGCGAGTGTAACGTTAGTTTTGTGGAAATCGTTGCAACCGAAAGAGAAAGAAGTTAAAATAGCCTGATTAAGGTGGGCCTTAGCATTTGTGTGTGTTGGTTTAGTCTGTCTGGTGGGGCGAGGGTTCTATCAGGTGCCTGTAGTTTCATGAGTGTCAATAGCTTTGTTATCGAAAGTGTGGGGGTTAGGGATGGGAGAAGGGCCCTTCGGGGCTTCAGTGCCCAGGGGCCCCTGGGGGTACTAATCCGGACTTGGTCCTACCCCCGTATTCCTGCAAACCTGCTTGCACCAGTAGTAACAATAAAAAAAACACAAGCGGTAAAATCTTCAAATCAATCTGATAACACACAGTGAAGGGCATCAAGGATGTAGTCACTTATGTTTCAAAAGCTTAGCAGCAATGTTTTGTGGCAGATGTACTCTTTGGTGTGCACTGCAATAGTTGAGTCTGGAAAAGATAAAAACTTGGATGACATTTTCTAGATCTGCAGATGAAAGGAACGAGTACTGTAGCACTCAATTCACCTGAGCACCAGAAAACAACTCTGACTCAAAGTAGGCTCCACCTAAATTATGGGGCCCTTATTAGATAAGTCGACCAGAGAGTATGATGCTAGTGCTGAAGGGCTGGAAAGGTAATTGCAATATAAATATTTTTGATTCAGAGTCATCTGCAGGAAATGTTTGCACACCTGTTATTAATTTCTGTAAGGCTGAACATAATAAAGGTCACAGTACCTGGCTTTAAAAATACATACAGATCATCCACGTAGCAAAGAGCAATATTTTCTGACTCAGAAGATAAATTAACAAAATCATTCAATAATCAAAAACAAATGCTTTCCTTCCTTGTTTCAGTAAGATTGAAACAGATATAGAAGAGGTTAACTGAGGCAACAGAAAGCAACGACAGCAGTTTGTGCCTCCATCTACTGTCCAGACTTGGTAAAGGATATGAGGTATTTATAGTACTAGTAGTACCAGGTCTGCTCGTGCTGTGAGTCCACGCCTGTAATAAAACCAACGAGATTAGAATCCTGAAACAGAAGTCAGTCTACCAACCAAAGTTACACAAATAGATTGATAACTAATGTGGATAATCAACAATATATATTCTGAACTCCTTATTTATATAAACCTAAATAAATATGGAAAATGGATCATCACAAAGCTGAAAACAGGCCTGTTTAGAGATAAAAGTTTCTCACAGGACAGCGACTCTACAAACATGTGATGTCCTTAAAAACCCACAGCAGGAAAATGCAAAATACACAAGTACATTTTTCTGATGTACTCAGTGCTTCTCAACATTTGACTCAACATTTGACTCTACTTTATTTCCACCATACTGCCGGTGTTCTGTTTATTTATGATATCTATCGAGATGTGCTATTTAGCGGTTCTGCGCAAGCGTAGGACCCACAATCGTGGTCTGTTTCCACGGCCATAAATCTGTGCAACCTTGCTGTTGGGCATGCCGTCGAGACAGTGGCTGATCGTCAGCAATATCAAAAAATAAAATCTTTATTAGTCCATCAGAATATGCTACCCCTGATATCTTAAATGAAGATGTCATAATATAGTATTTCAACATGCTCCCCATCTCCTTTCAGTACACATGGAGTGAGTATAGTGGTACAATTTCTGTAGTGGGAGCATTATTTGATATCAGTGTATCAGAATATGCTACCCCTGAAATGATGTTAGAATATAATCAAAAACAAGACGTCATAATACTTAGCGAGTTATACCTTTATGGGATTAGAAAAGGGAAGACACTTTTCGATGGGGCAGAGCAACTCCATAGACTCTGCAACCGACCAATCACAGCCTGGATGGAGCGGGACATTTAAAAGTGTTGACACATAGCCTAGGTGTCATTTTCATTGGGGACGCTGGAGACATGTCAGAATCAGGTCAGTACTCGCACCTTATTTTGTTTCCAATTTTTCACATCTTCAACCACTGCTTGTGATAGCACCATCACAACACTAGCTCGATTACCTCATTTGTGTTGCCTTTGTTTAATTCATTTTCTGATTTAGGGCATGAATGGCATTGTTTGCTTTATCTCACTGTTCAGTAGGAGACTATTGCTGTGCAATCATTAATAATAACCAAAGTTGTCTGTTTACGTTGTACATTTACTGTGAGAGAACTTTGAACTATATAATTTAGTTCCAGTAAGGCTGAGGAAGGGGGTTATAAATCATATAATTAATAATTTGAATAGCTGTAAGGCTGCAAATGTCCATCTAAAGAAAAGAAAAATATTGTTGATTTGGACATGAATGATAACAGGCTGTGTTGTGTTCCGATGTGACCTGCAGTCTGCGTTAGGGCAGATTTCTAGAATTACAGTAATACAGTACAAGTAGTATTTCTGAGTAAATATGAAAATACTCCTTTACTGTAGTAAAGGTAAAGGTGTAAAATAGGTAATTTTACATGCATTCAGAGTAAAAGTTGGGCTTATTTTGTCAGAGTTATTGTGTGAAGACCTCATAACTCCAGTTTTTACTTCACCTGACAGTTTGTGGTTTGAGAAACTTGGTCTTCTTTTCAGCACAAAAAATTTTCCATTTCAAACCCTCCTGGTTAAAACCAATAATGCACTGCCATCATCTAAAATCCATGTGTAGATATGAGGGTTGTACAGAAGAGGATGAGGGCCACACGTGAAAGGTTTATCTGCCTCATAATCTTCACATGTGGCCCTAAACCTCTTCTGTAGCTTTGCGCCCAACAACATGATCTTTACCATTAAATTATTCAAACAGGACAAAAATGAATAATTCAAAACAGATTTTTTTTTATTTGTAAAATAAAACTTCTCGACAAAAGGTTCATAGACTTTTTACCTCATACAGCAAATAACGTATATTATTTATATTGTCCATCCATCGTCAACCACTTATCCTGCGTACAGGGTCACGGCGGGCTGGAGCCAATCCTAGCAGGGCAAAAGGCGGGGTACACTCTGGACAGGTCGCCAATCCATCACACGGCCTTATTTATATTGCATTACATCATATATTTTAGTTAGGGCTGGGCACGTTAACGCGTTATGATCGCTTTAACATATGATTTGTGCTGCGCGTTGCTACAAAAAGACAATTCAACTATCCCGGCGTGTGGGCGTGTGCACGAGGCGCGCACAACCGCAACAGTTTCACAGGAATGCACCGGCTTGTCGCTGCACCTTGTGCTCGAGCACTTCACCTCACTCTGACAGGGAAACTTGCAGCTGAACACAGACTGTTTCTGCTGCTCCCTGATAAAAGATACCTGCTGAAAACAAGAAAACTGGACTCTGACGGTAACTTGATTTGATTACATTAATGTTTAAGTTGAGATTTACCAGAAATATTTTATTGCTACTGTGTAAAGAGAATACTGCTGGTAAAAAGCACCCTTAAGTGTTTACAAACCACATGTTATTGCACTTTTGTGTATATAGCAGT